AGAATGCTCTTTTCTTTCTTTCTTTTTTATTAACTTCATGGGATGTGAGGTCAGACTTCAGCCACTTCCTTGTCTGAGAACGGACACAACCCAAATGGCTCGGGCCTGAATGGCGCACCTTTTTCAAGTCAACCACACAGGGGGAGCGGAGGCACCAGTTACCAATGAGTCACAAGAGCAGACAGCAAACTTGTTAGTAGGTCTTGACAACCAGGAATTAAGATGCTTTTTAAAAATGTGGACTTGATACAAAGTACATTAAGAGTGCATCTTAAAAAGCAGCGTTAGAAAAATGGAGTCCCTGTCCAAGTGTCTTTGTGAAATTTCATTCATACCTTAGTCTAGCCTGTTGAATAACAAGTAGCTCTGGGTCTTCTTGAAGCATTGTTTAAAAGTCTCCAAGAAAAATAATGAGATCTGTCTAAATAGAGCTATTTTATGTGGAACTTGGTGTGAGTTGTCTTCATCTGCATCATGCGCGACTATGTCTGAATAGAATCTGCATGGGGAAGACTTTCATTATTTGAAGGAACTGCACAGGTTACCCATTCTTACTGCCCCCTAGATGCAGGAATCCACCCTCCAACATCCCCAACTGGCACTCAGGAATGAGAGCCACTTGCCAGACCCCAAACCAAGACTACGGAATGGGCAGGCTCTGTGGATTTTGCTGGAAGGTCATACATTTAAAACGGCAAGGACTGAAAGATCTAGGTGGGCCTCCTTTAGGGTAAGGGCTTAGTTTCTCCAGTTTCTCTTTATAAAAACAGAAAAAATAAAACGAGCCAATTTCTAGAGACAAAATCCCCTTCAGGAACATCAAAATTAAAGACGTGTTTATTAAGAGGCTATTAAGATGGATGAAGACCAACCCCCACCCCAAAGAAAAAGAATGAAAGCAAACCGAGCATGTGGAAATTGTCTTAGCCACAAGGACTCCATTGTGATCAAGTCTGCAGGCCATGGGCCTCACTGTGTCAGGCTGGTGCCACCTTGATAAGGAAGTGTATTTTTAAATATAAAAGCTTCAAGGCATCCTTTAGTTTGCTTTTACAGTAAACAGATTTGTGTGTATGTGGGGGGAGGGGCCTTTAAAATTTGATCTGCCTTGTACTCAGTGTGAAATATTTGTACAAAATATAATAGTCATGGGTGCTGTTTGACGTCTGTGTTTATTGTTGTTGGCACCAGAGTGGCCCATGGCCTATGTTATGTCACTGTACAGACTGTAAACAAGACTGCATTAATATTGTTTTCTGATGTTTTTTTTTGTTTCGATGAACCTAGATTTTTAAAAAATACATTCACAAACTACCTTATGTTTAAACACAATGATTCCCTTTTATTTCTTAACTGTACCCCAAATCCCACAATAAAAAAATCATTTAAAGCTGTGTGTTTCGAACTCATCACTTAGAAATCAAAACAAAAACAAAACATAAAAACAAAGATCAGTTTGCAACATAATTTAAAGAAGCTTCTGGTTTAAAATACCACAGCAGCAATATAAAGAGCTGGTGGCAATCACATGCGGGGTCGAGACCCCAATCAACATATTTAGTCCACATCAGCATCCAGTTACAGTAGTTGCCAAATTCAACCCAGAAAGTTATTGCTGAATTTGTTGCATGGAATTTGGGAGGACTGGATCTTTCCGCAGCACAACCACAGCGGTAAAAATGAGAACGAGAGGATTTCATTGCTTTTGAAAGCTAAAGGGACCAGGATGAGGACATCTTGGTGACAGCCCGAAGATAACCCTCAGCTGCATTGCTGTATATTACCTGCTTAAAATAATGCGAATGACAACCACCTTTTTTTTTTTTTTTTTTTTTTTTACCCCCTAGGAGGGGCATAATCATGTAATCCAGAAACCAGAATATTTCCCCTTCTCTTTGCTCCTTTGTCCAAACCACTAGATTGAAATGGCTCCACTTTGCTACTGTGTATTTCGTTCTCATTAATAGCACATTGGCTGCTCAAGTATTTAGGCAAAATCAGTAGGCTAATATATACTTTTGGGATCTGTTTATTGTAATTGCTTTTCTCCAGAAACAAAACACATTCGTTTTTGTCAATGGATTCCCACCCCCCGATTTTTAAGAACAATTTTGCCAACTACTGTGTTGTTTAAAAAGTATGAAATATGCCTGAGATTGCCAGAGGAGCTCTCTATATGTCTCCTGGAGATAGCACTGCTGTGATGGACAGTGGAACAAAAACAAACGAAACGAGGTAGGTTAGAACAGGAAGCGCGACACAGATATCATTTTGCAACACCTTGATACCACAGGCGGCCATGCTTGTAGCTTTGGAAAAAAAATCCCAGACAGTCACGAAAAAGTTCAACTCATTCGAGTAAGAGTTTATATGGACACAAGTCAACCTGAACTAAATACGTACATATCTCTGCACAAATGCTGTTTACTGTATGTTGGGTAATTTGGAGGAAGGTAAAGTGATTAGGGTCTCAGAAATTTGGCCAAAGTCTTGCTTTTCAAGTTCTCTCAACTCTGAGCCAACGGTGCCTGCTGCATCCAAGGCAGGCTGAGGAGTCTGGTTTCTTCTCTCACCGACCCAGGGGGAACACAGGCAGCTCAGAAACATTATTAAATTTTTTTTTTTTCAGTCACAGTTTTCATCTTGAGAAAGTGGCACCTTCAGGAGAGAGCTGGGAATGGCCAGTGCCTGGATGTCATTCATGCCCCAATTCCCAGAAAGAACTCAACAAAGTCTCATTCATAATGAAGCCCAAACCAAGTCACCTCTTAGTTGGGAGCCTTTGTGCATTTAAAAAAAGAATGTGTGTGTGTGTGTGTGTGTGTGTGTGTGTGTGTGTGTAAGCTTGTTTCCCAGAAGTTCTTTCTCTCTGACCCCCCTCTGTCATCTTGTCTTTTGCCCTGATCTGTTGCATAATAGCTGAGGGAAAGTTGTGTTAGTGAGTTCCTCAATTGCTAGGCCAACCCAACTCAATGGCATTACTATCCCATTCAACACATTCCATTCTGTAAAGGGCCACATAAACATATGGCCTGTCAGACTCACCAAAGTGGTAGTAGATTTTATTAGACTAAGGCTAGTAGTTTAGCCATTAAAATCTATTTCCCAAAAGAGGGGAAAACTAGTATTTTTCTTCTCTTTTAAAAACTCATTAGCCAGTTGCTATCAAAACGCAACCTTTTGGGTTGATGAAGGCAAGAGAGTTCTTAACTTACCCCACTATGCAGTTGTGGCCTTCAGCGTAAGGAGATAAGGTACATTTATTGTGCTGTCTCTCACCATTGGAAATGGGAAACTTTACAACATACCATATACGGAAAGCTAGCAGGCAGACAGAATTAAAAACAGACTCATTTCCCCAGTACGCATTCTCACCCCATTCTTACAAAGTCAGAGGGGTAAAGAAAAAAGGTCTAAAAACTGAAAACCCACGATAACACAGCTGAATCATAAGAGCACACAATATTTGTTTCTATCCCTAACTCCGAAGGGCACACGGTCCATCTTTGTCCACAGACAACACAGCATTCTTGGGGATCTCCTGGAAATGTCTGCCACCTTTTTCTCTCCTTCGCAACCAGGCTGCAACACTGAAAGATGGACTGTATCGGGAGGGTGGAGGGAGAGGAAAAGGGGGACGCGGTATGTTCAACCAAGCCTTCTGGTTCTGCCTCTAGACTGGCATACGTCCGCATGAGTTATGTCCTTTTAAATTAGAAACAACGCCATGAAGATAAGTGCCAAGTGCTCTTCTGTTACCAGTTCATCATGGAATTTCTGTTGAGGGTCATGAAAAACACTTGGCTACTTCCTCCAGATCGCACGGATGCAAAAAACACCTGTTTGAAATTAAAGAGAAGTTAGTTCAACTGCATGGCTTTTACCCCTCATTTCTTCAACCGTCCATCCATTTTCTCTCACTTGCCCTATCCCTGCCATGTGTCAACACTTAAGACTCAATGGCAGGTGTGTATAAAGTGCTTTTCGCTACAGTGCATCCTCCGTAAATACTCCTGCCTTGACTACGATGGCGGTTATTACCTGGGGGGTATTGGCCTCCAAGGAACTGAAGGGGCTATATCTGGATGTGTAGTATCCCTTTGGGTGCTCACATTGGAAAAGGGAGTTTGTGCTAGGCTCAAGTGCTGGATTTCTGGCCTCGGACACAACAGGCCCTTGGTTAATTTCTAGAAAGGCACCAAGGCTCCTCTTCTCTCCCCATAGAAATGACAAGAAGGCAGGCTTCAGGATGGAAGAAAATTCTTTCCAATTCCCAAAGTCAAGGAAGGGGCAATTTGGGGCCTACTCACTGTGATCCAACTTCGGTTTTCAATGCTTAAAATTTAAAGATTAAAAAAAGAATTCAAATGGCTGTGGTCAGATAGGGTAAGATGTTTAATGCCTGTTCATTTTGGCATGCCAAGAGTTAATGCTTGGCTTGTCTGCTGATGCTGGCAAATTCTAGGCCAAATGAGATAACAGCATTAATAAGCAGAACTACAGTCCATTAGGTTTGAGTCTGTTAAGTCATTTTATCAA